ATAGTGATGTAGATATGTGGGGGTGTGTTAGAACGAGCCGTTTTAGGTAAGCGTGGTTGACTCTTAACTTTTATAAAGAATATCTCTTTGGATTTGAGACTTTAGTCTTTGCAACTTTACAGATCTTCTTTATGCACCAAGAGCTTGTAACACTCCAAAGAGAAAAGAAAAATTGAAATCGCATCATATGACCCCTTTAACCTCGTCTTAATGTTAGTGAATTTGGAGTATTCTAAACGAGCAGATAGTGCACGAGGTTAGTCATTTGCATAAAACACACCCAGACTATCTCCATATAAGGGCTTTCCACACAAACTTTCCTTTACAGCCTTTCATCACTCTCTCAAAGATACTCCACGCAACCCTATATGACGCCGTCTACAGACACGGTCTCACCAGATCTTTGAGCAATGCCAAGTTCGCAGTCCTCAAAACCAGTTCATACACAATAAAACACCTTTTATAAAGACCCAGTTTACAGAGCTCCCATTAGCCGGCTGTACATGCGCTGTTATCCAGAGAAACCTCGCAGCTCGAGCTATAGTCTAACACAGATTTTCTTACTCTTTTATTGATTAAATAATTTGAAGATGAAATATACATTTTATCTGGATGGATGGATGAATGGATTTTTTACAAAACACACAAGGCGAGATCAACAGCAAGTTTGCAACAAACTCAACATTTATTGCAAAAAATGTATTTGGATCAACAATCTTTTAAACATGAATTTTGCTGCTATGTATGAACATAACATTGCTATTTAAAATGAAGTGACAAATATGAACATACAAGTAATGCCCTTCACCCTGAGAACCTCACAAACAGTGCTCAGTTCTTCAGAGTGAGCACTTTCAACTGAAATTTGCCCTAACAAAGCAACATTCAACTGTGCACTGGATGTGGATATGACTTTCCCCCTTCGTGCTATTGGGGTTTACAGAGCTAATCCAGATGTTTTTCCATTCCCTGCACCAAAACTGCTTAAGGGTGACTGAGATAAATACGCCACTGATGGCAAGAAACAATGGGTGCAGCAAAGCTTTTGTGACTTTGTGACAGCGGTCCATGCAGGACTTGAGAAGAACCTAAATTACCACCAGCTACTAGCATAGAAACCATTATGTTCTGAGAGGAAACAAGAAAACTCTGTCTCATCCACACACACACACTGCATGGTCAAGTAAGTACACAACCCTGCCCACCTTTTCATTTCAAATTTCATTCTCTTTCTCCTGGCAGCCAGGGGGGCAACCAGGCAGACAGAGCCCATTAACGCCGGCCGTTAAATAATGACAGAGACCCGGCACCGCGGCTGGCACACTGTCAAAGTGAGGAGAGAAGGCCAGAGCAGCTTGTTTAATTTACCTCCTCCCATCTGTCTCCCGCTGTACAGCCCATGAGCAAGAGTCACTCGCTTCCCCGTCCTCTATGACACACTCACTATTCCTACAACAGAGACATGCCTAAAAGGAAAACATCCAATCCTATTCCAATTATATGTCGTAAATGCCAAGTTTTGGTATATATCAAGTAAAAACACAAAGCGACTGTGTCACGGACTGAGCACATGTTTCTCGTGAAATCATTCCGGTCATTAGAACCGAGCCTGTCCTTGGATTGCATTGCCTAAGGCTGCATGTGATGCCACTCATCAGGCAATGTGTTCAAAACAAAGATATGTTGCCTAGCTGAAAAGCATATTTTACAAAGGAAATTGTGACTGACGGGAAATAAACACACCTACTTCCTGCTTCTCTTTCTGAAGGTTTAGTCATTAATGTCTTGCCTTCATATGGGGATGTTTTAGTAACATTGCAGACATGTGAGCAAAGCCTGGGTGGCCTTTTCTTTCAAATGTACAAATGGGAAGGCAGACATAACATTTTTTATACATTTACCAGGATACAATCTTGTAAGAAAGAAGGGCATGTGGGAAAAATCGAAAAAAATCTAAATCATGTACTCTGGGGTGGGTTGACCAAATGATTAATTGATTAATCTGTTTTAAGTGGCCTTGAATAATAATTGGGCTGGTTTTAGGCTCAGCTGACTAGGATCACCTGCTTCTCTTGGGGACATTTACATAGGAAATGTTTTTTTATTTATTTTTTTACTATTTTTAATTTCAAAACACATTTATGGCACAAAAAGCTCAGATAAACAGCTCATCTGCATGTTTATGAGCTGGGTTTAAAGGGTTTTACCATGCAATCTGTCTAACAGCTAAAGCTAACTAGCTAATTAAAACACTGCAGATAAAATATTTAAAAACAAACAAACAAAAACTAAAGCTATATCATTCACGATTCACTCCTCCTACTTATAAAACATGCTACGACTGAGGACTTCTACTAAGGCAATAGGAAAAAAGTTATTTGCGTAGGGTATCATATCAGTACTCTGAATACTATTGGTTCTTGTATGATAAAATGCTTGTTGTTTCTTAATTGTAAGTCGCTTTGAATAAACGTGTCTGCTAAATGACTAAATGTAAATGTAAGTGAGGTGGGTAGATGGGAAAACTACTTGAAGGAGAACTGAAAAACAGTAGACACAACCTAAAAACTTAGGTTAAGGCAAAAATGCTGAATCTAGTCTGAGTCCACACCAACAAAAGAACACATGTAAAGAATACACATGTGAGTAAAAATAGAGACAACGCCACTAGCAGGGTGCTAATGGACAGGTTGTCTGTTTACCAAACAGACAGAGCAAGTCAGGTAGACTATGAAAAAAAAGAGCGATGAAAATATCCCATTTCAAGAAAGGTCAGCAATTTTTATTGTCCTTATCTGACAATCCCTGAAACCCTAATAAAAATTCACTTTAGGACACAAATCCCATTCTCACCTGTTCCACCACAACATAACAAACTGGGGAACAAGAGAAGCAGGTGTAATGAAGCAGGTCTGCCAGGTCTCTGAGCAGGGTGAGCTACCTGAATGAGTCCCATAAAGATGAAAAATTGTGACCAGAAAGAAGACAAAATGAGAAAGATGCCAAAGTAAACATCATCTGGACTACTTTTAGGAATTTTGTATAAAAAAACTACAGCGAAAATTAACAATAAAAAAACTCCAGTAAACTAATGTCAGCTTTTACATGTTGTTGCAGCTTTGAAACTTCTTACTCAGTGCTGTATATGCGGAGTTTACGGCAAGATTTCTGTTCCTTTGGTCATATGACCTCCTTATTTTCTTTACAATTATGGAGGTCAAAGTCATTTATTTGCAGCTGCATGTTTTCTGATAAAAAAAAAAAAAAAAAAGATCAGTATCAGTGACTCAGACACATTATGTGTATGTGGAAAAAGAGCACATGCAAACATTTTAGTAATGAGTCATATTAACAATGAAATCACATTTCAAGAAAGGTTTGAGCCTCAAGAAAAGTAGTTTTATGGGTTTGCTCTGGTTGATTATATTAAGAGCTTTTTTTTTACTGTAGAAAAACTCACTTTTTTCATTGTAAACATCAAAATGTGTTTGTCTATGCATATCTGACACCCAAAAGCATCTCTCATTGTTTATTTGCCGACATGGATCGTTATAAAGAAGTTTGACCGGCAATTCAGAATCTTTCATTTCATGAAAAGCCTTGTCTACCTAAAAAAAAGAACAGAAAACAATGATAAATGCACATAAATAGAGCACATCAAATATGGTAAATGGAAGCTCTATTATTCTAAGTTTATGGATATTTCTTTTAACTTTACAACACAGCACAATGCAACGCATAATTCAAAATACGGGAAAAACACCTGTGAAAAATCTATACAGAAAATTCCTTCATATTAGCAGTACATTGGGGCCTATACTTTACTGACTGTGAATAAAAGTCTAAAATGAAATCTGTTCATTATATAAAGCAATCATGTCTTTTCAGAAAACCTGGACTGAACCGCTCAATTCATATAGATTAATTTTATAATGTCCATACGCAGTTTTAAAAAATTATGATTACATAGACTTCAAATGGATGAACAATCTTCATTTGTTTTCCAAAAATGAACAAAAGTCTTACGTGTTTGGAAAGACATGAGGGTGAGTAAATGATGACAGAATTTTAATTTTTGGGTGAACTAAGCCTTTAAAGACAGGGATCCAACATATTTAATCATCAGTTCCATCAATTTACAATACTGTGGACAATTTGAAATGATTAATGACAGATTACGCTAAAATCCATCCACTGGAGGGGGGGGATAGAAAAATAAAGAGAGGCGCGTCACCTAGTAATATCCAGCAGTGTGAACACGGTCTGTTAAAAATCAGATTTCTGAAAAAATGGCAAGGACTTGGACATTTGACAGCACTCTGATTTGTGTTCCCCTCCCTGCTATTTTGGAACAACAAAGAACATTAGAGAGCCCTGATGGAAGATTTGAGACAAACACCATAGGAGGTGATATGGTGAGCATGCACATGCTTTCATGAGCGGAAAAATCAAAATGTCAAGCTTTGTGGCATGTGTCTCTGCAGACGACAGGCATGAAAGTGGCAGTGGAAGCAAATATCATACCCATTCCTCTTTCTATTGCAGACAGATGGTTGAGGAACTTCCTATTTAACTGCAAAAACAGAACTAACCCAAAACACCTCGCTTCTTACACAATATGCCGTATAGTTTCAATGCATCTCAAGTGTGACTCATTTCATTCTCATACTGTTGCAGTTAAACGGATAGCACACTCTAAAATTAACATTCTGTCATTTACTCACTCCTCATGTTGACTTTTTTCTTCCGAAGAATATAAGAGATATTAGACAGCAGCATGACAGTCTCAGTCCCCATTCACTTCCACTGTAATGAAAGTGAACTGTTATTAGGCACACACAGAGGAAAGAAAGTCATACAGGGTTGAAACAACATGACAATGAGTACATTTTCTATTCTTGTATTAATTTGAATTTCGGGTGAACTATCACTTTAAATTGCAGCTTTGGGCAAGTGAACCCTGACATTGTGCTCAGTATGCTCAGTATTAATATTGCATGTTGACCCAAATGCTCTTAAACTATTTCAGTTATTTTCAGAGTTAATCCACGCAGGAAATTACTTATATAACATGTAACATGGCACTGCACACTTAAATCGCGCTCAACATGTTATATGTGCCTATATTATCAAATGCATAACATGATTATGATTTTAAAAGGCCAGCAACAATACATAGCTTGAATAAAGTCGACGCACGACGAAATTCAAGTCGATACAGGACGCTCAGCTAGTGCAGCGCAGCGACGCTTTTCACGAAAGACCTGCTGCAAGAGCTCTCCCATTTGCTCATTCAGGTGAGGGAACAATACAGCGCATTTTATTACGTAGCTGCCGAAGACCGGTCTTTATTACCCCCCGTATGCGGTTTCGATCAAACTCAACGGACAGCTGTACAGTTAAGTAGCACAGCGCACCTGAGCGCCGAAAGACACGCCGCTATTCACTGCTCCACATCTGTCAAGTCGCTATCAATGTGACTACCTGTCAGCTTAGCGATTGTATTGTCACGTAAATAGAGAGCGCCAATACCTGTTGACTCCTCCTACCGCTGTGTTGGTTGGTGGACGTTGAACCCCGAGACGCTTTAATTTCTCTCCCAAATGTGGTTCTTCTCAGCCGGTGAGCTGTTCGGCTGAACGTGTAGACGAATTTCGCTTCGGCGGGTGGTAAGTGGCCGCACCGATAGTTCAGCGAAGCGAGCAAACTGCTGTAGCCTACATTCGCTGGGCGGTAGAGGAATGATGCACTGCACAGAACAGACAAGCAGCCATTGAGGTCACGTGTGAGCTGGTGAAACCGAACACCGGACAGCCTACGCCACCGTCTCCTCCCATTCTCCCCTTGAGCACGGTGTCACTTCAGGGCACGATACCACTGAACGTAAGCTCAGCTGGTGCCTGCCTTTATGTAACCACAGCGCGTTATGCAGGAAGTTTAGTGCTTTAGCATTAGGGCAAGTCTATGTTTCAGGTCACTGCTGCCTAGAAAAACATTTGTAAACATCATCTGGAAGCTCTTGCAGAATTACGCTGTAAAAATGAAGAGAGACTTGAGGAACCATTTGAGGTTCCTCACACTGGCAGAACCTAAATTCTAGGTTGGTTGGAAACACTGTAAATGAGACATTTGAGGCATGTTCCTGACAAAATGAGGGAATACCCTAGAACCACCAAACATTTTGCATGGGAAGTAGGCAAATTAAAACCTGCTGCATTTAAATGTTACAATTTGTGTTGTGGGTTTGTGTAACAGTGAATAGTGATCAAACGATCACACATGGTTATCAAAGTAATGAGAATTAGCATGTAAATGGATTAAAGAGGTTTGTCTATATCAGTGGTTCTCGACCAGGGCCCACTAGGGGGCTTCTGCAAACTTCTGCAAACCAAAACAACTAAAAATCAAGGTAATTATTGTTTTAATTCTCTCACTCAAGAATTGTCTTGAAAAAGCCTAATTTTAAAAGTGTGATTTCTACACCTGAAAAGGTCATGTAAATTAAAACGATTCCATGAGCATTTTGTACTGAATTTAGGTAAATATTTTTTTAAATCGTTGTTCTTAAACATATATATATCCAGTATCACAAACAAGTGGGAAAATCATATGGCCTTTGTATGGTGTTGTGGACAATGGGGGGCATTGGAATCAAAAAGGTTGAGAACCACTGATCTGTTTACATAAAGATCTTAATCTAAGTAATTTCTTATTGTGATTTTTGGGAATAATCAGACTATGTATGTTAATGTAACCCGTGAAACTGCCTACGTGATTCGGCACATTCAGTTGACAGACATATATAAAATATTTTGCACTGTACATTGCTCCAGTTGCTATGTGAATTGATTACTATGATTTTTCGTCATATATATATATATATATATATATGTGTGTATATATATATATATATCAAATAACCTTTGGTCCTTGAAAAAAGGAGCTTATGTAAATTTGTAGGTCTTTTAAACTCCTATCTAAAATAAAAGTGTATTGTTAAAAATATGATATAATTTACAAATATCATATATGTGAAAACAGCACCATTTTTATGGAATAGGGGTATGAGGAACAAAATGGAATCCATAAATTCCTACAAGAACTGTAAACACAACAGTACCTCCAGTAACCCTAAATCATATGGGAAAGTCTTTGAAAGAAATAGAGGAAATATATATTGAAGTTCTTAGAGTGCACGGTAGAATATTTGAGCCGGCTTCATAAGGTGCCTAGAAGTTCCACCAGTGTGTAAATCTGAAAAACCCTAAATGGTGCCTCAAGTATCTTTTCATTTTTACAGTGTATAATATGGTAGTAGAGCGCTCCAAAAGGCTTTAAGCAACATTTGCATTGCTGTCCTTTGTGGTCTCAGAACAGATGTCAACATGGTGATGTGCACTGTGTGAAAAATAACTGCAAGCACCATTGATCTTGTGATGATGCCTTGAATTTACACAAACTCTGAACATCCACACTCTTACAGTAAATTACCTTTCACCACTTTACTGTGACGACAAGGACACTGTATCAATGTTGCAAAATGTCTTCTTTTGCAACAAAGAACTTCAAACTGAAGAGAAGCCATCCACAGCGAAACACCAATTAAATAGGCAGACTAGGGTCAGTAAGCCACTAAAGAAGAAAAATCAAGCCAGATTGTTGGACTAAGTAGGTTGGGAGGCCAGGTGAGACCAGCAAAGACTGGTTTAATCTGTTTGTTTGTTGTTGTTTTTTTCACAGCAGGGAGGTGTCGACACAGATCTAAAATAAACATGCGATTTATTTCCCAGCTGTTTACCTTCAGACATAACCGACTGTTTCTGTAACTCTTGTGTTTTTAATGTAAACTTGTGTGAAAGAGAATTTAGTTTAGTACTCACATGCTGTGACAGCCGCTTTCTGTACGTGTGCAC